TGTACACAAAATGCGCATAACAAGCCCTTATTCTTCCAATCTTTTAAATCTAGAGTCCTAATATTTTTATAAACCCAACATTTTCAAAATTTGCTATATTTTATAATCAAATATTTTAGGTGTGAACATTTTCGTACTATGTTTCAAGCACATTGGGGCGAGGACGATAAAGAGTGAGTGTAAAAATAATTTCGTTCTCTTTTTTTAACGTACATGAGCTAATATATTTTCCTTTTACAGTGTCATCGAAATAACACAATTCTCGTTTCCTGTTTATGAAGCTTTTCTCAAGTATCTTTACACGGACAAAGTGGAGCTGACTCCAGAAGATGCAATCGGTACGAGTCACTTTGACACATTTGAATTTGATTTTAGCAAATTTGCCGCGCTATTTAGGATTTTTACGCGCTCAAATATGTGTTCTCACTGATGGAAAAACATCTGTAATATAATCATAAAAACAAGTCAGAGGCAAGGAAGGGCAGGGAAGGTTTTTTCTCATATCTTTTTATTCTGTTAATGTTCTTTGCTTTTTTCTCTTTTCAGGATTATTAGATCTTGCTAATTCGTACTGTGAAATTCAATTAAAGAAATTATGTGAAAAAATTATTAAAGAAGGCATCACTATCGACAACGCCGCCATGTTGATGGCCGCCGCCATAAAATACGAAGCCATGGTAAGACTGTTTATAGAGCCAGAGGCCTCTCACAAGACAGAGGCAAMATAKCATGAGTTTTAATCTTGATTCTTTCTTTTTTTAGGAATTGGAAGACTTTTGCTTCAAGTTTTGCGTGAATCATCTCACTTTAGTGTCTCAAACCGATGCATTCACACAGCTTGAYGACATTACAATCAAAGGATTTATACAGAAAGCTGGCAAATATGGAGCCTTTAGATATTGACTACAATGTGAATCCCAGATACAGGGGCGAATTCAAACTAATTCAGGATGGGGTTAGCTCGGGATGGGGTACAGTCCACTCTCACCTCCTGTCAACGGCTTTCCCCAGGCTTTCTACCCTGACGTACATAGTTTGTATCTTATCTCTTTTTGAGACGTCTTGAGTACTAGTTTATGGTATTCATAATTTAATTGTTTTTCTTTTTAGTAGGTATATATTTTTTTTACTTCTCTGTCGTTTGTAATGTCTTTGCTATTCTAGGATTGTAATATTTTATATATTCATATTGTAGTTTTATTTTGTCATTGTTTTTCTTCAAAGTGGAAAATGCCTCTTGTTGCAATTAAACGCGATATGCCATCAATAAAAGGCTTGCGTAATGTTTGCAATATAGATACAATTCGTGGTTTGAAAACTACTTTAAATTTATCRTGACGGAATGCATGGAGGAGGGGATTACAGCATGAATTAATACTTAGACATAACCCAGGAAAAAGAACTGTCACAAAATAAACAAAGAAAGACGAGAAATCAAAAGTTAGGAAAACAATTCCAGTAAACGCAACTGGTAGAATGAAGAACGCTATGTTGGTAAGAACTACTAATGCTATCTTCTTGGCAAGTTTAGACTCTCTTCGAACTCCAGCATTTTGAGCTGCGCGCTTAGCTACCACATAGATGTGGATATAGAAGACGATACTCGTAGAGTAACAAATCAATGCTAGAATGGAAACAGCTATCGCAAAAACAAAGGGATTTATACCTAAGTGAAGAGATATTGGTACACAGAACAAATTCAGTTGATAGAATCTAAAATAAAAGGCATATATCGCAAAACATAATGCAAGACACCAGCTTATGATCAAACAAAGAAAAGAAACACGTCTAGTAAGTCTAACCTCTGGACGTAAACTATAAACTATTACAAGATATATTTCTAAGGTGAGAAGGAATGATGTGACGACTGATCCTGTTTGACCAAACATCCAAAGAAAGCCAATCTTCCAGCACATTCTTCTTGATCGCTCACGTGGATTGTTCACTTGAGCCTCATCTGGGAACGCATCACTATTTAGAAATATCCCAATTGCCACACAATACACACCCATCAAACAGTCACTCAAGGCCATGTTACAAACCAAACTCATGGAGACGTTCTTACGCAGTTGCTTGGATGTAATGATGTTAGAAAAGACGATAAAGTTTAGAATCACTGCCATCCCACCAAAGAAAGTTTGTGTGTTGAGTACTCTTAAAACGTTAGGCCAACAAACGTGTTCTTTTCTCGTTTCGTAAAAGTACTTGACGCATTCGCTGGAACAGGAAAGTTGTACCCGACTGTTGTTCAACAGATGCGCAAGAGATACGAAGTCTTTACGGATATAGTCATGGTTCTTATAGCACAATTCCTGGCGAATCAAGTGATTACGAAAAACTCGCGTAACATTGTAGGAAGTGTCTTGGTACAACTTGCAGTTTCTACACTGCGCCGAGAATGAAAGACCATTGATTTGTTTGAACATGCGCAATTGGAAAAGTTCTTTTTCCGGTGTCCAACCAGTGATTCCTGTAGCATCGATGAAGGATAGTGATGAGAGCAAACCCGATAGATTACCACTGAACGATATTAATGGGTTCATCGTTAGGTTTCTGTAGATATATAGATAATATTTACATCGCAAATCTCTTTCTTGTTCTCATTTGTTATAATCAAACATGTTTTCTGTATTATATACGCCATTTAAACCGCGCGGTTTAATAATAATGGCGTATATAATACGCGACACGCCTTGTCTATCAATACGTGCCGACTAACATGGAAAATCTAATCAGAAATGTCAAGAACTTAAGACTGTTCAAATGACGTCGAAGGTATCTTTTGTTTGAAATTCAATKAAGTATATTCCAGAATGACAGTGCTTCAACTTTCACGTTGAAAACACTTCAGTGAATACAATCAAGGCATAATGTTTGCAGTTTTTTATGTTTAGTGAAATTACATTTTTTGTTAATTTTTAATATCTCCATAAACCCATGAAATACACTTTTTCTACAACACTTGATTACTCTTTAATTGCAAAAGTTTGTCTTTTCATATGTTTCATGGGTTTATRAAAACCATTCAAAACGCAACTGGGCAATGTGTAACTAGAGCAATTTTACAAAACCGGGGAAAACATATTTAACGGACACTCATTGGTCAAAGCAAGTTCTATGTACAAAATTAAAAAAATACCGCTTTGTTTCTTAAGAGTGTCGCCGCGCCTGTTTTTTGTTTTTTTTGTTTTTTTTTTCTTTGTTTTTTTTTTTGTTTTTGTTTTTTTTTCGATCTGTGCTCGCTGCGTAGTCTTCTTTAGCTCGCATGGTGATCAAGGTAAAGTAGATATCGTACTTACAGTGTAGTTAGATTATCTAAGCCATCAAATGCGTCGTACATCAAAACCCTGATCTCGTTGAAMGCCAACGACCTGAAAAATCGATTATAAAAACTACAGGTTGTTAAACTTACTTTCAAATATATGAAATCCATCATCAAAGTTATAGCTTACAAGTGTTGAAGGCTTTTGAAAGAAGCTAAAGAACCTTGTGAGATATTCACGAGACT